AAACGCTATGAATTAATGGTACTGATGATTATCACTCATTAAATTTTTATTGATAATGATTATAAATTTATATGTACAAATAATAATTATAAAAATATTTATTAAATTATTTTATAATTTCAAAAATTATTTTGAGATATAATCTTTATTATTGATAGAATCAAGATAATATTTTGTAATTTAAAATTATAATAATATATTCTTAAAATATGAGATCGTGATAATCTTATCTCAATGAAATATATATTATTTCATAATTTAAAAAATATATTCTTTATTATTGATAGAATCATGATAATATATTATTATAAATTTTAAAATTATAAAAATATAATAATTATATATTTTATTTTAAAAATAATTATAAAAAATATTTATTAAATTATTTCATAATTTCGGAAATCTTTTTGAGATCTAATCTTTATTATTGATATAATCAAGATAATATTTTATAATTTAAAATTATAATAATATATTCTCAAAATATCTATGAGATCGTGATAATCTTATCGATATCTTTCCTAACAGAAAATCTCTATCAATACTAACGGAATAGGGTGTCTTCGATGGCTATAAAGCTCTCTAAGACTTAAGGTATTAAAAAGTACCAGGAAGTATCATTGAGAAATAAGATGGAGAAGCAAATTGGTTTGGTGATGTTCGCGGTGGTGATGCTGTGTAGCCAATGTTTGATTGGCGTCGAAGCAAGACCGGTCGTCGAGCGTCGGAATTTGCTTGCGAATGGGCTTGGGATGACTCCTCCCATGGGGTATGTTTTCTTGTTTTTTCTTATTTGATAGATTTATGTAATTTTTTCTAATCATAAGATGTACTTTAAGAGCAGTTGGAACACTTGGAATTACTTTTATTGTGATATCAATGAGACTATAATTAGAGAATCAGTTACAAATATATTGATGTGTTTTTTCTAACAAAAAATAAGTAGATCGGTTTATGATATGCTAGTGATGTTCTGTTTCGATGTTATAGCGGATGCATTGGTGTCCACCGGGCTTGCTAAACTTGGATATCGATATGTCAACATAGGTATGTCTCTCATAGCCTCACTCACAATTTCATTTTCGTTAGATTTAGAGATAGTAAATCTGATGAATTGTTGATGGCATGGACATGCAGATGATTGTTGGGCTGAGCATGATCGTGATTCAACGGTTTGTAAATGGGTTTTTATTGATTGGTTTATGAAATGATACATCATTTGCTCATAAATACTTCAAGGCATTCGTTTTAGTGTTTTATCAACTCTTATGGTCATTCATGGATGCTTCCAGGGTTATATGGTGCCAAAAAGGTTGACGTTTCCATCAGGAATCAAAGCTCTAGCGGATTATGTTCACGGCAAAGGGCTTAAACTTGGTATTTACTCAGATGCAGGGTAAGTCTAGCGGAACAATGAATTCTGATCATCTCTTCATGACTGTCTCGATCTGTGAGTTCTTGACTTCGGGTATTGCAGGCATCGAACATGTAGCCAGACGATGCCAGGTTCGCTTGGTCATGAGCAGAAAGATGCTGAAACTTTTGCTTCGTGGGTAAGCATGCGTGGTCGAATTGTTGAAGCTTTCTCTGATACTAATTAGTTTGTTGATTCTTCTTATTCTTGTACCAGGGCATTGATTACCTCAAGTACGACAATTGTAACAATGATGATTTGAAACCAATGAAGCGGTAAGGTTTTCTTTTTTTTTTGTCTCGATGAGATTTCGTATGTGCTACTGAAATAAAGAAGAACTGTCGATGTAGGTATCCTGAGATGACCCGAGCTCTGATGAGAACAAGCAGACCAATTTTCCTCTCTCTCTGTGAATGGTAAAAAAAGAAAAGAATATTAGAGAATAGAAGAGCAAATAATCCTTTGCTTTTTTGCTGATCGACTCTGCTCTTGTTCTTTTTTATTTAGGGGAGACATGCACCCGGCTCTTTGGGCTAACAAGTTGGGGAATAGCTGGAGAACAACTTTCGACATAAATGATTCATGGGAAAGGTACGATTATTCATTTTCGTTTCTTCTTGATGTTCCTGTGTGGCATGGCATAATGTGTGTTGTTTTTTTATGTTACAGTATGGTTTCGAGGGCAGATCAGAATGAAGTTTATGCTGAGCATGCAAGGCCCGGCGGTTGGAATGGTAAGTGACTGTATAATTAGCCGATCCCATCATTTTCTGTGCAAGACATCTGACATGTCGGCTTACGTCTATAGATCCAGACATGCTCGAAGTTGGAAATGGTGGTATGAGTAACGATGAGTACATCGTGCACTTCAGCCTTTGGGCCGCTTCCAAGGTAGCATAACTCTCTTTCACTTATCATCTTTCTGCACGGTGAAGATTCTATTTACAGATAGCTCTACTCCAATCCAATCCATCTTTGCAGGCTCCTCTTATTATCGGGTGTGATGTAAGGAGCATGACCAAGGAAACCTTGGCTATCCTTGGCAACGAGGAAGTGATTGCTGTAAACCAAGGTAGGCATATGCGACGAGTTCGATGGGGCTCTCATGAGCATGGCTTTCACATATGGTTTGTTTTTTGATGAACAGATCCTCTTGGTGTTCAAGCTAAGAAGGTGCGAATGTATGGAGATTCCGAGGTTGGTAATTGGCATTGCAAGTTTTTCTCATATTCTGCCATCCCATGAAGCATGCAAGTCCTGAGATCATGGAAGTTTGGATGTAGGTTTGGGCAGGACCTCTCTCTGGATACAGAACTGTAGTCGTTCTATTGAACCGTTCCCCTGAATTCAGAACCATCACAGCCCAATGGGATGACATCGGTCTTCCACCAAACACGGTTGTGGAAGTCAGAGATCTTTGGAAGGTACTCCAAATGTTTTGCATCTTCTCCTACACATTGCAGTCACCGATTGATAGTTGTAGTTAACATGGTTGTATATTATTGGTTGTTGTAGCATGCGACACTGGAGAAGAGGTTCGTGAACGAACTGAGAGCCGGCGTGCATCACCATGCCTGCAAGATGTTCCTGTTGACGCCTCTTACACTATCAGAAGAGGATGAACCGTTAGTCTAGTCACTATTCGTAGGATGAATAAATGTATGTACAAATTCGATGCTTGAATTTGTTGGTATTTTAATGAAGTAGAGGGTTCGTAGGATAATAAATTCATGTACAAATTTGATGCTTGAATTTGTTGGTATTTTAATGAAATTGAGAACTTTTTTTATTCATGACTTTTTCCTCAAGAAATCACATATTGTGACATTTCTTTTCATGTGCGTGAGCTACGGTTCTGATCGGGGATCGACTTTAACGTTCGAAGATCACACGACGAGCGAGTTGCGAGGATTCCATCCCATCCTCGCATTGTCGCGAGTATTCCCTAATAAATTCATGGAAGATGGGTGAGAATATTTTTTGTTCCTTAATAAATTTTTCTTGACTATTGCTTCCACATAAGTTACATAAGGTGAAATTAATATTGATAAAAAAATAATATTATAAAATTATTTTTTAATTTTAATTTATTATTTTTTTATTTAACAGCATTTGCAGTATTTGAGAAAAAATAAAATTAAATAATTTTCTTTTTTTAAATATAAAGATCTTAATTTTTAAAAATATAAAGATTAAAATATTAAAAATAACTAATAAAAAATAATATAATTAGTCCGTTTTAGAAGCCCTAATCTGATATAGCTAATAAACACCGCAACAGGAGTATCCTCACGCAGCGTCTCCTGTCTAAGACTGGCATCACGCGCCACGTATGCCAGTTCGGACACACGTGCAGCGGACTCAGACCTCCATGCGTCGACCGAAGCTTTAACACTCTGTGGGCGTGGCAAACTTATCACGTCGCGCTGCGCCCTCCCCACGCCTACATAAAGCTTCGCCGATTCATGATTTCCCTCGGTCGCAAGCACAAATTGCACGCTGAACACTATTGCAGGATGCAAAGCGGGAAGAGAGTGGTGGAGTCTGCAAAAGAGACGGCGGGGAACATCACCGCCTCCACCAAGGCCGGCATGGAGAAGACCAAAGCCTCCGTCGAGGAAAAGGTTGTGGATATTATTTCGATGAATGCTATAGACGAATGACTTGAGGTGTTGTATCTGTCGTCTCGCAGGTGGAGAAGATGAGGGCCAGGGACCCGGAAGAGAAGGCGGAGGCCGGGCGGCGGAAGGAGGAGAGGAAGTACGAGGCGGAGGCTGAGAAGGAGGCAGCGAAAGAGCGGCACGCGGCAGGAAGGGAAGATGTGAGGGCTGGTGGAGCTGCAGGCGGCGGTGTGGCTGGCCACCCGGCTGGCCAAACTCCGGTGGCATCCGGCGGCCACCCCCATGCTGGTGGTCGTGGCTCCACCACGGGCCCCGGCTTCTGACCGAGTTAAACCTGTAGATTTATCGCATAGAGCCAAATCGATGATGCCTTTGTATACAGGCATCGTTACGTGCTTGTAAGTCTTTAGTTTGTCGACCGTAAGATCGTGTGGTCTGATTCCCGGCAGGATTGCATCAAATGAAACGAATACGGGAGACTGGGAATAAAGAACGAGGTGTCGCCATCTTCTCGTAAAGACTTGTCGTTTATATTAAATGGTAGTCCATTTGTTTTATGCTGGGGTTGGTACGAATGGTAGAGAAGCAAAAGAGTACTTTGGTTTGGCGACAACTACGGGGTTAGATCGTCCACTGGACAATATGCCGACAATCATATGCGATTGCTTAATTTTCAGCATGTATTCCCTAATAAATTCATGGAAGACGGGAGAGAACGTTTTTTGTTCCTAATCCGCAATCGGGCTCGACATCGATGGTAACCGGCCAGGCCCAATTATTCTTAGTGGGTACAGGACCACACGTCGTGTGGGTACTGAACGTGTTGGGTATGCAATAGATATATCGGTGAAAACACGCGTCATTGTTGCTGGGTGGGTATTGGTGGGCACGGAGATTTCATGGTCGACAAAGGTCAGGTGATCTGATGGGAGAAAAGTAGATATCCACGATCAACGGCCAGAAAGACGAATCCAAGGATCGAACGATCGGAGCTCACAAAACTATTTTAATTCGTGGATAGCGCTAGTTCGACAAAGTCACGGGGTAGCATTGTCACTTCGCAAAGCACTCACTATAAAAGGGTTGGGAATCGATCCATCTCATTACGGTTCACCCATGAGAGAAGAATAAAACAAAAGAACGGGGGCAAAGCGTAAGAAAAAGAAAAAGGAAATTAAAAAGGCACCGAAACGGAGGAGGACCAAAAACCAAACGGAGGGCGAAACCCTAAGCAACCGCGATGGCAGCGGCGTAGCGAGCGGGGTTGAGGAGGAGGGGGGTATGGCGAGATCTTCTGACCTGGAGGAGAGGGAGATCTGGGGGACGTGGGAGGAGCTCCTCCTTGCCTGCGCCGTCAACCGCCATGGCACCCGGCGCTGGGACTCCGTCGCCATCGAAATCCAGTCCCGCACCCCCGCCTCCCACCTCATCACCCCCCACGGCTGCCGCCAGCGATACCGCGACCTCCAGCGCCGCTTCAGCGCCGGCGCCGTCAACGGCAGCGGCGACGATGACGGCGGCGAGGACGATCCCCATCCGCCGGCCGACGTCCCATGGCTCGAGGAGCTCCGGAGGCTCCGTGTCGCGGAGCTCCGCCGCGAAGTCCAACGTTACGATCTATCTATCGGGTAATTAATCGTTAATATCATCTATATCTATATAAGCGTCGTATTTTGTTTGGCTAGGTTTCTTTACCTCCTTTTTTGCCCTTGAATAAAGATCAGACGGTCCCGATTGCTGGATCGTGAATATATTTAGTATTTTTTTTAAATTATATTTTTTAGATCTTTGCAACTGAAGGTGAAAAGGCTACAAGATGAGCGGGAGCGGAGCGCACGGGATGCGGAGTCCGGCGATGGGAAGCCGGTTGTGGATGCAAAGAAGGGGGGCGGTGCGCCGGGATCCACGCCGGAGAGCCTCTCCGGAAACCGGATCTCCTCCGGCGGTGACTCCGGCCCCTCGTGCGAGCAGTCCAACTCCACCGACCCGAAGCAGAAAGCCGGCGAGGACTGCAGGGAACCTGAGGAAGAGGGAGCGTTTGCCGGAGCCGGTAGCGACGCGGCCGAGCCATCCACCGGCGGTGACGAAAAGGCGGCGGAGGGTTCGTACGACAGCAGCACGGGGAGCCCGGCGGCCCGGACGCAAGCGATGGGCGAGTCGATCGCCGAGTCGAAGGAAGTCGAGGAGGGGGAGAAAGAGAGCAGCGACGTGCAGAGCTCGGTAAGCCTCTCGCGGCGGCGGGGCACGGCGATTATCGGTGGCGGCGGGGTCGAGGAGCCGGAGGCGGAGGAGGCGTCGATCATGAGCGGGGTGGTGGCCGCGGCATCACAGCCGTTGGTTTCCCTCCTCGAGATCATCCGGTCGCACAAATACGGGTCCGTCTTCGAGCGGCGGCTCGAGAGCCAGGTTTCCTATTCTTCCCAATTTGCATATCTCGCGTTTTTTTCATGTATCTCATCGACATCATCCTTAAAATTCTGATCGACTTGTGCTCGGAACCAAAATGATAGGTCTCGTAGAAACTCGTGCGTGGCTACGGTGGGGCTTTTTTGACCGTTGGATGTGATATGCTCGACTCGTTGGAAAACCTGTATAAGTTCGCCTCTCCACCGTCGGATCGACGGAATGGAGTGCAAAAGTGAACCCGAAAAGGCAAGAGTAATTGTATCCGTGAGTCGTAGATCCAACGGTGGCAAGCCCCCGACGAGCCTTCATCGTTTTCCCTGCGAAACAGTCTTGTCATCTTGTGGTGATAAAGACACGCAGTTTATTCGTTTCTCGGAAACGGCTGCACGAGATATAAAAAGTAATATAAAGTGACAATTAATATATATAGTTAAAAATATACAATTAATAGTTCTTGCCGGACACCCCGAAATCGATAAATTAATAAACTATGTGACTATTAATTCGAGACTTTTCGCTTCGATGTTTAGTTGACAGTCTGAAGAATAGCAACTTCTATATTAGCTAATTTTCTGTTAATTTTACTTTGAGCTGTTTGAACTTTGGTTATAATTGTGTTGCTTACTAGATTACAGATTGGGTAGATAACTTTATTTATTTGTCGACGTCGCACGTTGGACGTAGCAAATGACCTGTCACTTGTAACTGCCACGTCAAGTCTGTCGTTTCAAGATTGTCTTCTAGATAAGCAATTATTAACGTTAGTCTTCATTGGGGTCTTAGACCATATAAAGTAACTCGGCTTTTTTAAAAGAATTATTTACTCTTTTTTGTCTGACCAGTTGTTTCTATGCGTAGGAAAGCGTGAGATACCGAAGCATCGTACGGCAACACGTGGACCTGGAGATGGTGCGAGCCAAGCTGGACGCTGTAGAGCCCGGGCGCTCTTACGCGACTTCGGAGTTCTTCCGGGATCTGCTGTTGCTCTGCGGTAACACCACCGTCTTCTACCCCAAAGACTCCCCCGAGTTCGCCGCCGCCGTTCATCTTCGACGGCTCGTGACCAAGGAAATGGCTACCACTGTTCTGACGCCGACGGAACCCACGCCGCAGCCTCCCCCTCCCCCTCCCCCTCCTGAGCCCAAACCAACCGCCTCGAAATCCGAGACCGAACCGGACCTCTCCAGTGGCCTAGTTGACAAACCGAACTCCTCGCCGCTGCTAATTGCCTGCCGCAAGCGCAGCTCCACGTCGAACAAGCCAGCTGTGGCGGCAGTGGAGAAGGAAGAGAAATCTGATCCTGCGAGAATTGAGTCGGACAACGAGGAGAAGAGCCTCCCGAAGAAGACTACCAAGGAAAGGTCCGTTCGTTCTGGGAGAACCAGAGGCTGGCGGACCAGCAAGGTCCGGGGCGGTAACGGGGAAGGAAGCCCGGCAGCGAAAAGGTCCAACGTTGCTCCCTCTCCGTGCCTCAAGTCCAAACCGGTGGAGAATGTGGCGGCCGTCGGGGAGGCGGCGAAGCCAGACAAGAACACGGGCGGTGGTGCTGCCACTTGTGCAGCTTCTACAGCGAAAAAGCAAGGCTCCACGGGCTTCTTGAAACGTATGAAGCGGAATCCGAAAGGAGCGATCGAGGAAATGCCGAAGAGATCGTCGGGAGGAGTCAGCGGCGGCGGCGGCGGCGGAAGCGGGAGAGGTACGGAGCAGAAGAAAGAGGCAAAAGGTGGCGCTCGAAAGGAGCAGGGCTCCCGTCAGGGGAGTACTGGAGGAGGTGGCAGCGGTGGTTCGGGGAAGAAGGTGGCCGAGACGAGCGGTGGCTCGGCGAAGCGGGGCGTGGGGAGGCCACCAAAGAGGGCGAGGGAGGAGGCAGAGATTGCAGCGCCTTCCAAGGCTCCGGCGTCAGCTTCGAGGAAGCGACGGCGGATGTGAAGTGGGTCCTGTGACTGTGGCGTTGGCACGGATAACCAAGCGGATGCCTGTAACGTATCGTTTGGACGTTAATTTAACCGTTTCAGATGTTGTTAGGACACAAGCTCTTTTTCTTTTTCTTTTTCTTTCTTGATATCATTTCTCGATTTTAAATTTTTCCAACGCTGGACTACAAAATTTACTTTTAACCTTGTTTAAATATGTATAAGTAACTTAAAAGGGTTCGGTCAACACACCTTTTTCAATCTTTACTTCGGAAGAGAAGACTCGCTTTCTTTCAAATCCATTTTGGTTATATATATATATATATATAT